CTGGCCGGTTGCGCGCTGGATCGCGATGACGGACTGTGGGATCTGGGTGAACCGTGTCGAGTCTGCGACAGCGGGGTGACGATCGCAGTGGTGGGAGTAGCAAGCGACGGCCGRGATCGTCGGTGCGGGTWTGAGGTTTGATRATTGAAGTTGAGTGAGTGATTGGCCCGGGGCCATAGTGGAATTAAYGGCAAATGCGCCTTTGTTGCGGATTGTTATCGTTGGCGTGAGTGTACGGCGGTGACGCCRAACTTTTYTCTTCCTGGATCTTGTCATCTTCTATTTTGGACTTTCTTTCCCTCGACTCTCTCTCTCTCTTTTTCTTTCTTCTCGAAAGACGATGCGTCTGAATGATTGTCCCTCTCTTGAATRAGAATGAGTCGRCATCCTGTTTCTGTRTGAAAGAACTTCTTCYGGAACTCTTCCATTAGTTTCCTGGGTAATCCTCCTACGCGAGGACCYCGTYTACTTGTCTTGTGAMCGGTRRATGCRTATGTACTGTGCAATGYGATCCMTCTTTTCCTGTGAATGTCTCATTTTCGCACTTTCCACWGTGAATGCATGTATAGAGATGCGTGACTTTTYGGATTGATTAGACGAGTGTCGTCGGATTTTTGTTCGAGAATACAAGAGTGTTTAGATCTATAGTCYCGAACGCACTGCGCATGYCATCTGCCTTATGTGGCACGACRTCAGCAGCCACRCCATCAGGYGGCCTTGAGAAACAAGGCGYYRGACACCAACGTTGTGTTGAACTGAGTCGCGGGTCGGTCCCTTAACCCTATGCATGATCAAGCTGATGTGTGTCTGCTCCCTCGTATGTCAAGAAGGGTAGATTGAGGGTCGCATKAATAATTTTTGTTCTTAATGACGCCTCTGGATATATGTGATTGATTGATATGTGGACTGACAAGCACCCTTCGATTGGGCGCCAGCCWCCCGCATCTCCCATCCCAACGCGACCTTTTCCTTACGGAGAGGAAAGGACACGTGTATGTGAGTGGGACGTACRAGAAGCCGTCGCACAAATYGGCRGGCAGTATTACTTCCCTCCGGCCAACCGTTGTTCTGGGTTCGTAGACGCCGRATTTGTCATTATTGATAYGCATTTTCCACCCTACTCGATATTGTTGCCGTTTGACGAGCTGATCGTCATTTCGTGGACGGTAGTGGCRCCCCATTGGCYYCGCACTCTGTGCACGGAGTGSCAGSGTTTCGATCGCWACGAAGCAAAGGGCTYCCACTWCCGAATACGGAGTGRGGACGAGCGTAAGGAAAGAGCCACTCGRCTRAGACCATCAACGTYGGATTCGGAACTGACCAGCGAACGACGACGAGATCCGATACGAAAACGAGACACGCGAAGCGTGCCAGAGCCTTTCCGTTCTAAACGACGGGTTGTAGCCAGGTGGGAAGCTCGACAGTACTTTCTGGATTGAATTTGGATCTTTYTGTTTCCRCGCCATGTCCGCGCGYGCATTTTGTACCYGCGAAACTAATCGACTTGCTTCATCGGACCATCACGGGGGATTTCAGTTCCATCTGTGTCCCCACACTCAATTTCCCAAAAATCCTTGGCACACCCCATCTTRYTRTTCTTCTGGGCCTCTTTCCGCACGTCTCATAGTCCGAACGAAAGACARCACAGGGCGTGAGGTTGGTATCRGAGCCGACACGTGTCAGTTCTKATRRTAGTAAGTCGAACTGGCGAGAGGYAGGAGAGACCCTCAACTAGCTCGTCGAGATCGCCCCGTAACCAGGTCCTTGTCTAGTGTGGCTACACCAGYTGTTCCAATGGTGGACGGTACTAGGGTGATCGTTAGCATCCCTGCCCCCTTTCCCTTCTTCCTTAACCATACCCATCCCGAGGCCTSGMTGAAAGYTGTCGAAGCTCAAAACTACAACGCAGCCGATCTTCCAYRTGTTCTGATATTACTACTTCGCAACACATCACATGACTGGTTTAGAAAACATACGTGGGTAGATTGGGATACTTTSAAGCKAGCATTMTTGGCTCGATTCGACACRGTTAGTGAAGATGCCRYCTGGTATGTACTMAAAAATCGACCACAAGGACCAGGGGAATTRTTGCCCGWTTTMGTCGATCGATTTCAAACCACGYTRGACAAATCYGGGTRAGACGAGAATTCCGCTTGAGACTTGTTTATTGATCACCTTYGAAGTCCGACCTTGAAAGGRAAACYGCAGAAAAAGGTTCCGCCGAAAACAACCCAGTTATCGGCTATCATCACTAAAGCATTGGAGCTAGACTTGGGTGATACAARAAAATATATCAGCGAGGGAGACGAGGATATTWCAGATACCATACGGGATGTRACGKCCAAAARGCGATCATGGCTACAGGCGGTCGAACAGTTCTATCCCCGCCYCGACCATGACCTTCCYGGCRGAATCGTCTCCGATATCCCGGCTSCTTCTCCTCCCTCTTCCCSGGTGAATCAATCAATCGCRGCCGTTAGAAGCGGAACCTCATTCGAAACCCCCTCGCCAGCCATAACCAATTTGCATCTTGCCYAGAKGATCCATACGRCCACTACTAAGCAGTCCGAATAGATGAGCAACTTGATCCAATKGCAGGCAACGCACATGRAGCGAATGGAACAGATAATGAGTAAGCTCATTAACCCAGCTCCTACCYGGCCTGCCCCTGCATCGTTTCCGCTCTTACCTGCTYCGCTTGCTCCAAGATTTGCCCCTTAGTTTCCCCCTCTAGCTAATCYGGCTGGAAAAATCGAGTGTTTTAACTGCAAACRGCCYGRGCACTTCGCCYGTGAMTGTCCGCAGCCGAAACGTAGTCAGCCTCCCCCTGCTCCGGCCCCTGTCGCCCTTAACCAAGGACGAGTGRCCGCTCTGATGGATACGGATCAGGGAAGAGAACTCGTGGCATACGCCCCRGAGCAGCCTTCCCCTTCGACGACAATGGCGTCGACATCAGGAGCTTCTTCCTCTSACGCTGCTRAAGTGGTCGATCCCCTCGAATATCTCCATCGTGCCGGAATGATCGGAGCRATYCRATCGGCCCAAGATGATCTCGAATGGGTCGATCGCGAGTTCAATCCTGRACCACAGTTTCGRACAGGGGAYATCGATGTACTGAAAATGCTCAAGCAATTAGATATTCGCGTTCCTATCCCAGTAGGACATCTGCTTACCATWTTAGAAGCAGCGAACGATACACTTTTACAACATTGGCAGAAAAATCAAAAGCGCTTCACCTATCAACGCATACAACGGATGATGAAGAAGAAGGAGGAAGGTGAGGAAGTTGCGCCTCCTGAGCCAGACTCAAAAGAACCTGAACCCGAAGCCGCACGTATAGCAGCAATCTCGTTTGTAGAAAAGGACCACTTCGTACGAGCTCGACCGGTACTATGGAAAAGTGCGGAATGTGACTGTGAAGTTTGGGGTAAGCTGTCTAACGCCCTTATCGACACAGGGTCTTCTGCAGTGGCCATATCGTTAGATACTGTCAAAAAGACGGGACGACTTGGATCCATTCTTCCTCAATCTCGCAAAAACAACTATGTCTCTGCCGACGAGGAAGCAATGAACATTGTAGGTATTATCGAGAACGTAGCTGTAAAAGTGGGACGAGTACACGTCCTTGTTAACGCACTTGTAATTGATGTACGTTCCTACTCTGTATTGTTGGGATTGCCTTGGGCAATGGCGGTGGGCGCACGCCTGCATTTTGATTCGAAGCAACTGGTGCTCACACAAACTGGAAGAAAACCTCAAACTGTTCCTTTGCGGGTTTCCACCCGAACGATAAAATGGGTCCCTAACTCGCCTCAAATAGGGATGATCCTATACAACGATCCCGAGGAGTGCTCCCCCTCGCGCGTCAGGGATGGAATCAAGGAGTGAGAATACGAAGAAGAGATGCCCAGTGAAGCGGAATAGAAACATCTGGTTGAACTTTTCAAACATGAAACCCCTGAATAATTTCGAGTGTGCCCCGACACCGCTCGGAGCTTCCACGTGGATTCTGAAGGCAGTGCATTCACACCTCTAACAACCCAGGTCAGTCCTTCAGTCCTCCTCGAGGAACCTATATTACAAGTCTCCGATCTGGCTGATGATTTGGAACCCCCTCGCACCTTGTACGAAGTAGCTCTTTCCTTACGAACGCGCTATCAGCAAACGAAACAGTATTTGGATGTCTCTGCTTTTCCGCCCAGATCGTTATTAACGACTGGAGCCACCATCGCCTTGATTAAACAAGAGGCGGAAACACCGGTAAGTGACGTACCTAATCTAATGCAAGAAATGACGGATCTAACCGGGCTAACTGTAGAACCGACCTCGGTCGGTTCAGAAACCGGCGCTGAAACTAAAGAAACAGAGATGATCAGCCCCGCTGAGTCCCAAATGATAGCAACTGTCTTCTCTGTTCGCACCAGTAGTTCCGTTTTTTCTAGTGTCCATAATCGACGGGAATGGCCGGTTGATTGAATCGATATGCCCCTAAAGATTTTCGGGGAATCAAYAATCCCCCTCCCGAGTCATGTTCCCGCGAAACTCCGGAAGTCATTAATCTGTATGTTAAGTGGTTACTCAGAAGTGTTGAGCATGCATGATAATGATATCGGCTTAACTAATGTAATTGAGCATATCATCCTCACAGGAGATCATCTGCCTATTAGCTGCGCTCCCTATCGATACTCGCCAGCTYAAAGAGCGGCCGCTTTTTGGCGGATTAAGGAGTTCGAAGCTAATGGATGGATCGAACCTGTTATAGGTCCATGGTCTTTCCCTGTAGTGATCGTACCTAAGAAGGCTGGAGGGATTGGCATTTGCATTGATTATCGAAAGTTGAATGATATCACGATCAAAGATGTGTATCCCCTCCCCTAGATTGATGAGTTGTTAGATGCGATTGAGAGTGCTCGATTTTTCAGCAAGTTTGATGTTCGCCATGAAATTCATCATCTTCTTGTTCGAGAAGAAAATCGTCCGAAAATGGCATTTGTGCTTTTCGAAGGTACACGGCAGTGGATTCGATGTCCGATGGGTATCTGCAACGCCCCTGCGACTTTCCAGCGGGCCATGAACATGGCTTTTCAAAACTTTGTACGAAAAACTCATTTGGCGCAGAGCATCATCAACTACTGCGTGATTATATACATGGATGATATCTTGGTGTATTCAAGTTCCTACGAGGGACACGTGCAGCACATCGAATGGGCACTGCATGCGTTACGAGATGCAGGTTTCAAGGTGGCGCTTGAGAAGTGTCAGTTTTTTCTCACCACCATTTCTTTCCTGGAGCGCGTGGTGACAGACAAGGGACTCCAACCGGAGCAGGAGAAGATGGCAGCTGTCAGGGACGCACCCGTACCTACCACCATTACGCAAGTTCGCGCTTTTCTGGGCCTAGCCTTGTATTACCGAAGATTTATCAAGGGCTTCGCTGTGATTGCGGGACCCCTCACAAATCTCCTGCGCAAGGATCAGCCGTTGATCTGGACGCCGAAGTGYGATCAAGSGTTTTCSAAACTCAAGGCTGCTCTCATTTCGGCTCYGGTCCTTWTAAGACCGGATCCCGAAAAACYTTTTGTTCCCATCACTGACTGGCAGCCAGAGGCGATGTCGGCGATTCTTGCCCARGTGGGACCGAGCGGACTCGAGAGTGTGGTGGAGTATGCRTCCAAATCAGTGCCCRCCTGCAAGCGCAATTACGCCGCTCCARCGAGCRAATGCTATGCGGCTCTCTGGGGGATCAGTCACTTTCGTGCTTACCTGTAYGAGYGAAAATTCACCCTGGTGACTGGTCATGAGCCCCTGTTGGGTCTGAAGAAGTCGAAGGATTACTCGGGCATGATCGGGCSATGGGCAACGGTGCTGCARAGCATGGACTTTGACATTCGTCATCGGAAGCACGAGAGACACGGGAATGCGGACGGRCTGACACGACTGCACCGGCCTGAGAAGGTTCCAAACGGTGAGGAGATAATTCCGTGGAACGAACCCGAATGGGAGATTGGACCTCGGTACGGCCAAGTGGAGATCTTATCGAAGAAGTAAGTGACACGAGGACTAGTTGTTCTGTTATGATCTCCCTGCCTCCCCTCCTCCTCTGCCATCATGACTACCCCACTCGCTTCCGCAACCCCTTCTTCTCCTACTGACTCTGCCCCTCTCACTTCCTTGGCCTTCTTTGCCACCCTTCCTGATAAATTCTGCTATTTTTGCACGTGTATTGCGCAAGTCTATGGGGTCGACTGTCATCCCTTCGAGACCGGATTTGTCGATTGGGTGGAATGTGCCACGTGTGTCAATCCAGCGCACGGAGCCTGCGTTCGATATCGAACGAGTAGCAAGGAATGGAGGTGCCCCTTGTGTAGAACGAACAAACTCCCCACGGAGGTTCGATTCGAGGCCGCMCGTACGGACGGTCCTCAATACGACGAAAAATACCGACGGGCGGAAGTCTGGACAAATAAAATTTTATTGGCGAAACTAGCAGGATTATCATTGGGYCACCTCACCAAACACGACAGTCGTAGGGCGACCGAGAGATYTYGRGACTATCGATGGATCGACGGTCATTTGGAAAAACGTAAAATTGACGGATCGGGTTTGTGGCTGACAGTTCCCCATYCCTTCCARAGATACGATTGGATCCGATCTGCTCACGAGGAACAGGCCGCYCATTTCRCGATACRTGTCACGGAGGCAWCTGTAGACCAGAACCGATGGTTCTGGTCCAATATACRAGATGATGTCAAATACATTGTCGCTAACTRTCTKGTCTGTGCCRCTGATCGCRCCCCTATACRGGGACCAAACACGATCGTACCAACGGAAGTAGAGCGTCCTTTTCAACGAGTCAGTATGGACACGACAGATATTGACGTGCCACCTGGCCCAAACCGCTGTGAATATTCTATTTTATTAGTATTAATTGACCACTTATCCAAGTATATCGAAGTCTAATCCCTGTAAGACCCGAAAGGCTGCAGAAATAGCCACRWAMATCGAACGGTTCCTCTATACCCATCTTGATACAGAARAAATTCTAACCGACAATGGATCTGAATTTAAAGGTGAGGTAGAAGAACTACTTGCGCAAAGAGGCGTCACGCTCCGACATACGGCACCCCACATGTCCCAGTCGAACGGGTTGGYCGAGAATGCCAACCGTATGATTAAAACCGCCCTTCGCAGGAACTTAGCGGCACACAACACGCGTCCTTGGCCCGAGATCGTATATCAGATCGTCGGCATCCACCGGGCCACCCCTCACGAGTCTACGGGGTTCACCCCCTTTCAGCTTCGAACTAATGGCCTCCCCTGTGTCGATTATCGGGGTAACTCGGAAATTACCAAAGCAGGGGGTAGAGACACGCGTGCGGCCCTCAAGACCAAGGCCAAAAGGTACACCGATTTGATGGAACGGGCCGTTCCGAAGCTAGCCCGAAAAAGACAAAGGATGACCGAGCTGGCCCACGGTAGACAGGTCCGTAGCTATGAGGCCTGGAATGGAAATGCTGGGCCCCAGTACCAATATAAATTAGGGGACCTATTGTAGGTACGTAAATGTGCACGCGACCGGAAACTCGCTCCCAAGTACTCTTGTTGTTTTCACGTTGTCGAACTCAGACCCAACGGCGCTAAGACGGTGCGCGTCACGCTTGAGACTAGTGCCAGCAATAGCCCTGTCCCCATCGTCCGGCATACCTCCTACCTCCCTGTTCTTCCTCCTTTCGATCGTTCTCCCTTGTCTTCCTCGAAAAGCAAGGAAAACGACGACGATCTAGCTTTCTCCGCCTCTCCCCCTCTTCCTCCTCTCCGACCTCGCCATGAGTTTTATCACGGAGCGGGTTCTTGACATTCAGCTGTTGCAGCCACGTGGCCACATCTCAGAGATTCGACAAGTTTGTCACCCTCGGCTTAATACGGATCTTCGGCGTTTAATGCAATACTTCTGCCACGAAGGTATCTGTGTCGCCGCCACGTTTCGAATCGAAGGAAGTCCTCGCACAATAGTATTCGCAGAGGTTACCGCAGTTCATCGGCGAGCGTGTCCCAAAACGAGCCACGTCACCACTGTGGCGGGATTCACCGGCGACATCAGCTCGGTCAATCCGCTGCGGCATACCGCGATCTTGGCCTCACTGTGAGAGTGGATGGAGCAAGTGTCCAACGTGTGGCAGCACGTCCTCGCCCTGGAGGAGTATAACATCATCGGGATCTTTGCATCGGACCTTGACGGCATTCGCCGAGTACCGCGCGAGCGGCCAGTTGCGATCCCGGCCATCGTTCCCTTCCCCCATCCCCAATGAACCACGCTGCTCGTCTCGCTCCTCTCTCTGTCTCTTATACACATCTAGATGTGTATAAGAGACAGGCGTTCGATATCGAACGAGTAGCAAGGAATGGAGGTGCCCCCTGTGTAGAAYGAACAAACTCCCCACGGAGGTTCGATTYGAGGCCGCCCGTACGGACGGTCCTCAATACGACGAAAAATACCGACGGGCGGAAGTCTGGACAAATAAAATTTTATTGGCGAAATTAGCAGGATTATCATTGGGCCACCTCACCAAACACGACAGTCGTAGGGCGACCGAGAGATTTCGGGACTATCGATGGATCGACGGTCATTTGGAAAAACGTAAAACTGACGGATCGGGTTTGTGGCTGACAGTTCCCCATTCCTTCCAGAGATACGATTGGATCCGATCTGCTCACGAGGAACAGGCCGCTCATTTCACGATACGTGTCACGGAGGCAACTGTAGACCAGAACCGATGGTTCTGGTCCAATATACGAGATGATGTCAAATACATTGTCGCTAACTGTCTTGTCTGTGCCACTGATCGCGCCCCTATACGGGGACCAAACACGATCGTACCAACGGAAGTAGAGCGTCCTTTTCAACGAGTCAGTATGGACACGACAGATATTGACGTGCCACCTGGCCCAAATCGCTGTGAATATTCTATTTTATTAGTATTAATTGACCACTTATCCAAGTATATCGAAGTCTAATCCCTGTAAGACCCGAAAGGCTGCAGAAATAGCCACAAACATCGAACGGTTCCTCTATACCCATCTTGATACAGAAGAAATTCTAACCGACAATGGATCTGAATTTAAAGGTGAGGTAGAAGAACTACTTGCGCGAAGAGGCGTCACGCTCCGACATACGGCACCCCACATGTCCCAGTCGAACGGGTTGGCCGAGAATGCCAACCGTATGATTAAAACCGCCCTTCGCAGGAACTTAGCGGCACACAACACGCGTCCTTGGCCCGAGATCGTATATCAGATCGTCGGCATCCACCGGGCCACCCCTCACGAGTCTACGGGGTTCACCCCCTTTCAGCTTCGAACTAATGGCCTTCCCTGTGTCGATTATCGGGGTAACTCGGAAATTACCAAAGCAGGGGGTAGAGACACGCGTGCGGCCCTCAAGACCAAGGCCAAAACGTACACCGATTTGATGGAACGGGCCGTTCCGAAGCTAGCCCGAAAAAGACAAAGGATGACCGAGCTGGCCCACGGTAGACAGGTCCGTAGCTACGAGGCCTGGAATGGAAACGCTGGGCCCCAGTACCAATATAAATTAGGAGACCTAGTGTAGGTACGTAAATGTGCACGCGATCGGAAACTCGCTCCCAAGTACTCAGGTTGTTTTCGCGTTGTCGAACTCGGACCCAACGACGCTAACACGGTGCGCGTCGCGCCTGAGACTAGTGCCAACCATAGACCTGTCCCCATCGTTCGGCATACCTCCTACCTCCGTGTTCTTCCTCCTTTCAATCGTCCTCCCTCGTCTTCCTCGGAAAGCAATGAAAACGACGACGATCTAACTTTCTCCCGTCTCTCCCCCTCTTCCTCCTCTCCGACCTCGCCATGAGTTTTATCACGGAGCGGGTTCTTGACATTCAGCTGTTGCAGCCACGTGGCCACATCTCAGAGATTCGACAAGTTTGTCACCCTCGGCTTAATACGGATCTTTGGCGTTTAATGCGATACTTCTGCGACGAAGGTATCTGTGTCGCCGCCACGTTTCGAATCGAAGGAAGTCCTCGCGCAATAGTATTCGCAGAGGTTACCGCAGTTCATCGGCGAGCGTGTCCCAAAATGAGCCACGTCACCACAGTGGCAGGATTCACCGGCGACATCAGCTCGGTCAATCCGCTGCGGCATACCGCGATCTTGGCCTCACTGTGAGAGTGCATGGAGCAAGTGTCCAACGTGTGGCAGCACGTCCTCGCCCTGGAGGAGTATAACATCATCGCGATCTTTGCATCGGACCTTGACGACATTCGCCGAGTACCGCGCGAGCGGCCAGTTGCGATCCCGACCATCGTTTCCTTCCCCCATCCCCAATGAACCACGCTGCTCGTCTCGCTCCTCTCTCTACCTTTGGTCTCCCCTCTCTCTTCCCCACCTTCTGGCAATCCGATCTCCACCCTTCTCTCTCCTTCTCATTCGTACCTCTTTCGGTCCCTTGTATCAATCCTGGATATCGGCGGCTGTGGCGCGAGACTTTTGAGGAGTTATCCTTCTGCCTGGCCCGAGTACAAGTGAAGTGGACGGGCACTATCGAGCACCCCACGTGGATCGAGAATCCGGAGCTGCTAATCATACAGGGTTGGAGGACTAACGCGGAAGGAGATCTTATTGGATTCCTCTTTGGATTGGTACAACCGGGTCACCGTCAGTTGATTGCACAGGAGCTCATTGCACCGATCGTGCAATTGGCGGACGATCTCTCGCCCGACATCTACTTTCAGATTGACAACAGTCCTACTCCATACATTTTCAAGCGATCCTTGGATCCGTACCTTCAGTGGACTTCGTGTTTGGAGGAACCTAGGGACGAGGATACGCTACCATGGGGGCAAGAGTATCTGAAGTCGTACGAGATCATCCCTTACGCCTTCTACCCGAAGGCAGAAGAAGTGGTGATCGACGACGACGACGACAAAGAAGAAGATGGCGACCCTGCAGCCGCCACCTCAAGTACCGCGCGACGGAGACGGCGCCGATCCCCCTCCTCCTCCAGCCT